GCCTCCAGCTCCCTCGCACCCCTGTCCCAGTCTCCTGCTCAGCCTCCAGCTCCCTCGCACCCCTGTCCCAGTCTCCTGCTCAGCCTCCAGCTCCCACACACCCCTGCCCTGGAGCCCTGCTCAGCCTCCTGCTCCCCCGCACTCCTTCCCTGGGGCCTTGTGCAACCTCCTGCTGTCCGTCCCTGCCTTGGGCCCCGGGGGGAGGCAACCATCGTCCAGAGGGTGGTTCCAGAGGGACGTGAGGTGTCAGCAACAGGAAACAAGCCCAGTGGCTCCCGGGGGTGCAGAGGAGGCTGCTGTCCCCTCACTCCCACCCCCAGGCCCAGCCGGCTCCCCTAGCCCTTGGGCCGGGAGGACAAAGAGGGATTGAGGGGGCGTGTCGCCATGTTAACAGGGACCCTGTTGTCTGCAGGCCTGTGAGCAAAGCCAGGCCCCAACCGGGAAGCCAGATGAACAAGCAGTGCCTGTCGAGGGAGGGGCCGTGCACAGGAAAGGCCAGGGGCTGTCCCAGGAGACCCCTCTGGCTTCCACGGACTTCCTGTCCTCCCCCTGTGGTCTGTCTTCCACTGCTACAAATCCAACCGGCAGGCCAGGCCAGGGCGGAACTGCTCCTATGGGTTTCTGATGCTGCAAGTCTTCACTGAAGCAGACAGTCTCCTCTTTCTCCAGAGGAGCTGCTGGGGGGTTTGAACTGCCAACCTCGCGGTTAGCAGTCCACTGCCTCACCCACGGTGCCACCTGGGGCTCTAAGGAGATGTCTCCCCAGAGGAAAAGGGTGGCGGGGGGCTTGCCGAGGGTCCCCAGGGCCCTGTGCAGGAGGAGCTGTGGAGGACGGTGTTCAGGGTCTTCTCCATGTTTCCTGAACTTCCCAGAAGCTTCCGAGGGCCACGGTCAGCCACGACGTCCGGGCACCGGTTGTCATCTCCGTAGCTTGCTCGGAAAGACAACATGCCCAATGCCTCTGGCTGGAGTCGCCACACGGAGAAGGTAGAGCCTAGAGCCGCATCTGCCCTCAGCACCTCCCATGCCTGTGACCTCGAGGATCAGTCTTTCTTCCTGTCTCAGAAGGACAGACAAGGGCAGGCTGGTCAGCGCCTGGGCCCACACAGGCCCTTGCCTCCTCGGCTCTGTGCTGTCCACTGCCATGAAGTGGGCACTGACGATCCAGGACCGCAGACTCTGGGACAGCTGGCAGCCCCGCGCACAGTCAGCATCCTGGCGACTGCACTGGTAGGTGACAATCACGACGAATGGGGACAAGACTGACGTGGTCAGTGAGTTCATCTTGCTGGAGCCACAGTCAGGGTTCACGGGAGTAATGGTCACTTGGTCACGGGACGCCCTGCATTGGGTCAGTCTGATGCACAAGGTCCTCTGCGCTGGAGAGCAGGATGTCACTCAGAAGACTAAGATGCGCTGGGCCAGGCCCAGGTATCTCCCATCACTTCATGGGCAGGTGCAGGTCAGCAGCACCGGCGAAGAACAATCCGATTCGTCCTGGAAGAAGCACCAGCAGACGGCTCCGCCGAAGTGAGCGTGGGGAGACTGTGGACGCGCTGTCACAGAGTCTAGTCCCTGGAGAGGGACTGCATGTTTGGCAAAGTGGAGGGGCAGTGAAAGACCGGGTGGACCGACACAGGGGCTTCAACAATAAGCTCAAGGGCAGTGAGGCCGGCGCAGGATGCAGTGGTGGTCCACTCTGCTGAGCTGGGACCCACTCCACAGCACCTGGCAGCAACACCCCGCCCCATGCCCAACACGGTCAGGTCCTTGTGCCCCAGTCGGCCGACGGGCAGGCCTTTCTTCCTACTTTGTCTGTAAGCGAAACCAGTCCAGCAAGCCTTGAGGGCCACCGAGGGTCTCCGGCATGCAGGGGTGGCGAAGATTGGGCCACGGGGGCAGGCCTCTGAGGTGCTGCAGGTACCCAGCCCTCGGCCACAGAGGGCAGACAGAACGAAAGCCATGCCCCCCCCCATGCGGGCACTTCCCAGGCACATGGGAGTGGCCCGGCACCAGACCAGCAGGATGGGGCTGTGCACTCCTGTGACCACGACCAAGAAGCGGGACACAGGTAGTGCGTGGACGCCACAGGGAAAACGGGTCCATCTCCTCCTCTGCCTGCCCAGTCTGTAAGCGCCAGGAAGCGGGGCCGGCGCCCGTGTTGCCTGTCTCAGGATGTCTGTGGGGACACCTCTTGGTGCCCTGGCCGGTGAAGAGGGGCAGCAGGTGTCAGCTGGACCCCCAGGTTCCCCCCGGCCCACCCTCCCCCGAGCTGACAGGCCTTTTGCTGTCATGTCTGTGCTGATCAGCAGCCATCCCTGGGGTCTGGTCTGGAGCCATTCCGGCTGCCCTACGGAGGGGGACCCCGCGCTGCTGCCACCTAACGAGAAGAGGCTAGCACATGGCGGCCGCCATGACCAGGAAACACCTGTCCCCCATGTCTACAATACCAGGCCGAACAGACTGAGCCGGGGGATGCAACTAGCCAAGGTGTATTCTGGAAAGGCCAGTCTCCCTGGCCTGAAGAGGACCAGGCAGGCGGTGGGGTGGAGACCCTAAGGGGGTCCCTCAGGCAGGGGAGAGGTGACCACTGGGTCCTGTTCCCCTGGGACCATGTCCTGTCTCAGGGGCATACAATTGAGGGTGGACTTTGGGGGCTCGCAGGAACCTGGTTCCTCTCCTGAGACCGGAAGCGGTCGGCGCCGCCCCCTAAGGAGCGCGTGTCTCCAGGCTGGAGCTGGGCACTGGGCTGATGCAGGGACAGGGGCGGGGGGCAGCTATGGCCCGTGGCACACACGCACCAGGTTCTCGATGGAGTTCTGAAACTCGCCGATTTTCTTCAAGGTCTCTTTGTCCCGTTTCACCTCATTGATGAACATGGCCAGATCCTGCGGGAGGGGGGCCAGGAGAGGAGACACACACCCGCTCACACGGGCAGGAAACCAGACCCACCCCTGCACCCAGCCTCCTTCTTCCTGCCCCCACCCGGGCTGCCCCCACAAGAGCTACAGGCACAGCCACGTGGTCTGCTCTTGAGACACGGGACCAGGAGGCCCTGTCGAGTGAGGGCCACAGCCCCTCGGTCCCAACATGCAAGGGTGCCCGGCCGGCCTGCGCTCACAGGCTAATGGTGGTGGGAACACCCGGAAGCTCTCTGGCCACCCCCAGTCTGCTTCACGGTCTGGCTGGCACCCGTCTCCCTCCCAGCCCCACAGCGCCTTCGCACAACCCAAAGCCTCTTTGCAGAAGGGACATCCCTGCCAGGGACCCGGGACCCGGTAAGCACCGGCTGACTCGAGCTTACTTATTCGGTAGTGCACTCACATGAAACTGTGGAGAGGTGGGGGCCAGGTCTGTGCTCCCCGGCTTCCCACATGGGATCTGGGCCTGAGCTCCGGGACCCCGGGGTCTACAAGGCCTTAGAGCCCGGCATTTAGCAACCACACTGCAATCCCCCATCTGGTCACTGGGTGTCAGTGTCCACCTGCAATCCAGGGAGCACGTGGGCTCTGCAAGTTGGCTGAGCAGGGGACAGGGCACCCAGGGTCAGGCAAGCCGGGCAGGGGCCCAACCCCTGCTTGGAAGGCCCAAGCAGGCCACCATACCCTGCCTGCCAGGGGGACGGGGCTGCTTTACAGCAAGCTTCCCGGGTAAAGTTCCGCAATGTGTGAGGGCCAAGAGCCGGGCTCCCCACCCGAGGAGAGCTGAAGGCCCTCAGCTGGAGGAGCCCACAGGTCGTACTGGACGTCGCTTTCTTAGTAAATTTGCTTTGCAGTAAGAACCAATCCCCAGGGACCGGGGCCTAAGGGCATTGTGTTACAGGCCGGTGGGCCCTGGGCAAGCTCACCACCCCCTCGGGTGGGCACAGTGGCACCCACAGCCCAGGGTGTGGAGCTCACAGGGCCAGGGAGTAGGCGTTGGATGGACGAGTGGGTGGAGGGATCTCAGAGCGGAGCTGGGGCCAGTTGGTGAGGCTCAGCCTCAGGATCACGCATCTCACAGAGACCACCTCAGTCCACAGACACAGAGCAGCCGGCCCATAGGAGGCTCCTCCATCCAAGGAGTGAGCTCCCCGTCCCCCGGGGGGAATCAACTGAAGTAGAATGATCATCCACCCAAGTGATTCTACATTGGGAATGTATCAACAGGCTTCCCAGTTCCTGTCCCACGACTCAGAGGACATCATGCTGAGTGGAGTCCATAAAAAACAAAAAGACCACCGATCTAGGAGACAGACCACCGATATAACAGCAAGTCCGTCAGGAGGCTTCATACCACAAGGGGCAGATATGGGTGTTTGCCGGGGGTGGAGTGGTGGTGGTGGTGACAGCACCAGGCCAGAGGGGAGCTCAGTGGTACTGAGGCAAAGGGGGAGGTAACTGCTCCAGGAAGGGTGGAGGAGGCACAAGCACTGGAAGATTTGATACGCTGGTTAAAATGGGGTGCAAACACGATGCTCTAATACGTAAATCTGCAAACACTCAAACTCCCAGCCTTCGATCAATGCCAACTCAGAGACCCTGCAGGGGAGGGCAGAACGGCCCCTGCGTGTTTCCAAGACTGTCCCATGGGCGGCTAGGGGTTTCCAACGGCTGCCCTTGTGGACCCCAGCCCAACAGTGACCTCTATGCCACCAGGGGCCCTTCTGATCAGCAACCCCCCAACTGAGTCACACTGAAATAGAACAGGTTTCTCAGTCTCTACGTCTTCTGCTCT